CTCGCAACAGACCGCTGCACTTACCGCCGCCTCTAATCAAAAGCCTCGACAATAATTGAATCTTATTGAAACAACAACGAAGTAAAATAACAGCACAGAAAACAGTAGAATCGCAATTGCAATGCTGTTGATTGAATTCAAGAAAAATGCGCATGAATGTGTGTGTGTGTGCGTACATGTACACAGTAATTCCTGCAATTTGCGTTACCTGCCGAAAGCAAGAGGCCATCCAAAATATATTTATTTAATAAATTTGTGTTTCTTGGCCGATCTTGATGAAACTTTCTACAGTACATAATTTTGTGCTGTAGAATATTTAAGTATTCTCAAAAACACAAATTTATTTAATTTGTGGCTTATGTTGGTGGGTAGCATAATTTGGTTTATTTACTCAACGCTACCACCGCAGAGCTATAAATCAAGTTAATAACCCAACTTATATTGCCACAAATTTATACAATAATTTTATTGCAATTGAGAGAATACAGAATACGGTTCAGAAAAACGAGAGTTTTCTTTTTCTGCGCAAGTGGATGTGTTGCAAAATCCAAGAATTTTTTAATACATGTAAGCACACATTCTTGCGCGTCTGCTACGAGTTACATATAGCAACAGCATTGCAATTGTGTTGCTATTTTAATTCGTTTTTGTTTTTTTTTTTTTCAATAATACTTAATTATTGGTGTGGCTGTTGCGAGCCCTACCAGGAAAATTATGGCTGTTGAGAGTTCAAACTCTGCCAAAGGGAACTTTATTTTTTAAATTTATCTTTATTACTTCAAAGAAGCGCGTTGCGCGTACTGCATCTGGTGTTGAATCAGAGGGTTCTGGCAAAGACAATATAAACACTAAGATGAGTAACGCCCATACATTTGAATGGGACGCAAAATTTCTAGCCTGGCCTTTCATCTGGCCTTTGAGGCTTCGTACGGCATTCCAGCCGACTGGTTGTTCGTTCTCCAAAGACCAGTCGAACGAATGCCGAAGGCGCGGCTTGCTGATGCTGACACGAGCTACGAAGTTAGTCGCCAGCCTTCAGCAAAGTTGGTCGATGCTGCTTTGCGTCGCTTCGTTTTCGAAGTACATTGAGCGAAAAAGTTTATAACTTACGATCGACGCAAAGTGCTTATGCTTTATCCATGATATGCATGCTTTTTTTAAATGATATATTACCCTAGATATTAACAATTAATTTTACAGGAAAATTTAAGAACTTATATAATTTTTACACAAGGCGCTTCTTGCGCAATAACTAATAAAAATAGCACATATAGAATGATTTTACTTTTCTTTTTTGACAGTGTATGCTCGAGAAAAGTTCTTGTCTCAGCCAATAGCGTGCGTGCACCTTTCGTTGTATGCGTGAATTATACATGCATAAGAACTTTAAAGTATGTATGCATGTGTTGTTATTCACTGCTCTGGCTTTAGCTGGCAAGAAATTGATTTTGTTAGTTTTTTTAGCGCAGATCATGACCTGTCCCAAATTTGTGTTGATATATGAATGCATTTTGTGTACTGAGGTTGGCTCCGCAGAAAATATGTATTTCTAAGTCGACGAAAATACTTACATAATTTCTTTAAATTAAATGAATATTATTTTTATTCTCCAATTAAAAAATAAAAAGAGTGCTAAAAAATACAATTACATTTTAAGTCGACTCGAAGGTCATATTTAGCTATGACCCCATTATAATTATAATGGCGTCCTCGCGGTGTTCCCTGGGTATTGATTTTGCATCGGTAGCTAATTCGAGCGGCGACTTTGTTCTTTATAATTCGAACAAAAAATAATAAAATTAAAAAAAATAAAAATTAATTAAATGTATGTTTGAAAACAACAAATTTGCACTTTTATTTCCTTAATTTATTTTGTATTACTTAAAAATAATAATTTAATTAATAATTTCAAATATAAAAAATTACATAAATATTTCCATCGACTTAAAAATACATATTTTGCACGGAGCCAACCTCAGTACACAAAATGCATTTTGGGTAGGTCGTGATCTGCGCTAACAAACTAAGAAACTTGTTTCTTTGCCAGTCAGAGACTTGCCCAGAGCAGTGGATAACAACACATTCAAATATTCACACGTATACAAACATAATTGCTTGCACGGTCCTCACAGAGCCGAAGCTGAGAGCAAATTCTATTTTTTGCTTTTTCGTTCTCTCGGCTGTGAGAGCGCAATGCTACAGATTTCGTTTTCGTTCTCAATTTTCAAAAAATCATGCTGCATAGTAGCATTTTGTTGTATTAGTGTTACTCATCTTAGTGTTTATATTGTCTTTGGTTCAGGGTATTACCTAGTTGGGAGCTACCGACTAGAATCTTTTACTTGTTAAATATTAAACAAGTAAGAGGTTCTAGTCGGGAGCTCCTTAACTTTCTTCTTCCAACATTCAATGCATCTATATATTCTATTTTAGAAGCAACATATCATGTTTGGTGGCTCTAGCTCTTATTATTTACCCAATTTGCTCAAAAAACAAATCGATTTTTATCGATTGCTTAGAAACGGAGTAAGTTATCGACTATCGGAAACAAGCACCTACATCTAAAATTTCAAGTCTCTAGCTTTTATAGGTTCTGAGATCGTTGCGTTTATACATACGGACGGACGGACGGACGGACAGACAGACGGACATGGCTAGATCGACTTGGCTATTGATGCTGAACAAGAATATAAACACTTTATGGGGTAGAAGAAGCTTCTTTCTGCCTGTTACATACATTTGGATTTTGCACAAATACAATATACCCTAATACCCATTTTAATGGTTTCAGGGCATAACGAGAAAGAAAGGCTATCTTCGGCACTCCGAAGATCTAATACCCTTGCAGACCCAACCTTTTCATAACGATCGTTCCTATGGTAGATATATGATATAGTAGTCCGATGTAAATAAGATTTTGCAAAAATGAAGGGAGCATAGTGAAGTCTTTAAATGCCGTGTTTAATCAACATATCTTGAATGACAAACAAGTTTTCCATACAAAAACTTAATTTTGGACCGATCGTTCCTTTGGCAGCTATATGATATAGTGGTCTGATCCAGCTGGTTTTGGCATATGTGCTGCGTGCAACAGAAAAAGTAACTTCGGCAAAGTTTCATTAAGATAGCTTTAAAACTGGGAGACTAGTTTTTATAAAAACCGACAGACGGACATGGCTCGATCGACTCGGCTATTCGTGCTGATCAAGAATATATATACTTTATGGGGTCAGAGATGTCTCCTTCTATGCGTTCGACATATCACGAACAAATTATAATACCCTCTTCAAGGGTATAACAAGAAAGAAAGGCTATCTTCGATACGCCGAAACTAATACCCTAGCTCCGAACCTTTTGATAAAGCTCATCATGCTGTGCTCGTATCTAAGAGTCCCTGGTAAAATAGTTAATGCCTAGAATGCTTAGGATATCTCGAAAAGCAAAATTTTGTTCATACAAGAACCTCATTTTCGACCGGTAGTTTCTATGGCAGCTATTTGACAAAGTCGTCCGATCCAGCCGGTTCCGTCATATGTACTGCGAGCATCAGAAAGTTTCATGACGATTGCTTGATAACTGAGAGACTACTTCGCATAAAAACAGACAGGCGGACCCGGCTATATCGACTGGGCAAAGACAAAAAGAATAAAGACTAAGATGAGTAACGCCATAAAACAAAATGTTTCTATGCAGCTTCATTTTTTGAAAATTGAGAACGCACACGAAATCTGTATCATTGCGCTCTCACAGCCGAGAGAGCAAAAAAGCTACAAATGGAATGTAATTTCAGCTTCTGCTCAATGAGGGCCGTGGAAGCAGCTGTGTTTGCTTGTGTGTGAATATACATACAAAACACCATATTTGAATTAGAGTAGGAATTTCTAGTTCAATTTGCTGAATAAGTGCACTCGTTTATTTCTGACCGTGAACGAGTGAATTAAATGACCGATTTAGTTCACTAATCGCTGAATTAGTTCAGTAGTTAATTACCGCTTTTTAAAATAACCAGCTGATCGGATTTCTTTAATTTACATAAAGCCGTAAAATTTTTGTTCCAAAACTCAACGAGAAAGAAAGGCTATCTTCGGCACGCCGAAGATCTAATACCCTTGTAGATCCAACCTTTTCATAATTCTTATAGTGCTTTGCCAGTATCTAAGAAGCACAGGGAAAATAGTTAATGCCGAGTTTGGGCAAGATATCTTGATAAAAAAAGGGTTTTAAGCAAAAACCTTGTTTTCGACCGATCGTTCCTATGGCAGATATATGATATAGTAGTCCGATTTAAATAAGATTTTGCAAAAATGAAGGGGGATGGAGGAGGACGGGATGAAACTTTGCAGAAGCCCCTCTTACTGTTGCACGCAGCACATATGCCAAAACCAGCTGGATCGGACCACTATATCATATAGCTGTCATAGGAACGATCGGTCGAAAATTAAGTTTTTGTATGAAACAACATTTTGTTCATCAAGATATCTTGACCAATTTCGGCATTTGTTTGTTTTACTATACTCCTCATATATATGCAAAATCCTATTAAGATCGGACCACTATATCATATAGCTGCATTAGGAACGATCGGTGGAAAATAAGGTTTTTTTATGAAAAAACATTTTGTTTATCAAGATATCTTGACCAAACTCGGCATTTACTATTTTCCCTGTGCTTCTTAGATACGGGCAAAGTACTATAAGAATTATGAAAAGGTTGGGTCTGCAAGGGTATTAGATCTACGTCGTGCAGAAGAAAGCCTTTCTTTTTCATTTATATTTATTATTACTGTGGGCAATGTTCTCGTAGCGCGACCCCCTGAACCGAAACTCCTGAGAAGAGCTACGTACTTCTTTTAAATGGCGCCACTCATTTAGTTTACAGTGCGTTTGACTTCTAAATCTTTTTTGTGAGTTTTTCCTCAGACAAAAACCAATTGTTATTATTTATAATAAAAAGCAACGGAAGTGATATTTTAAGTGTTGATTCAGTGTATGTAAGCAGACCTGAAAGCACTAGAGTTGACTTGGAGCCCGCAAGGGCTATGGATTCTTTGCATGTGAATGAGCTAAATGGCCTTCTCGCTTCTTTGAGGCAATTTTAAGCGTCTTGGCGGTGATGCTGCAGTCGTCAGCCGCTTGTTGCTTAAATTCCATGTTTTTGTTATTTTGTCTTATCCGCATTAATAGGCAGTTTCTGTATTTGTTGCCACTGGCATTGGACGACCGTCATCACTTCGGGGATGCGAGCGATCTCACTATTCAACGTTATTCAACTCTCGAAAGATAAAATTGTCGGAATGCATCATCGGGCTTGTGGTGGAGCATGAAGTGCGAACGCAAATTAAGAGGTTAAAGTTATGCAAGGCGTCTGGGATAGACGCTGTCGATGAGAAACTAACAAAGGCTCACCCTGACGCAGTCGTGTTACAGATGTGGCGGCTTTCCAGGTTTTCCTTGATATTGGCTACTTTTTGGCTCTGGAGAGCAAGGATTTGTCGCCAAGATGCCAACAAGAGATAAGGTCCCATACAGCCCGAATACCTACATGCTTATCTGCGAACTTCGTTCGTTGAGCAGGTTCATCGTGTTGTAAACTGTACGGGGCTAGCGGCACTGCTTGAGGGCTGGCATTTCGAAATTAAGATTAGGGTATGAAAACAAATTATAAAATCATATTTGGCCTACATTTTAAAAAGGATTATAGTGTTCCTGTGCACATGTTTGTAACAAGCAAAAGAAAACATCTTCAATCCCATCAACTAAATTAACCTGTTATTGGACTATGAGCGAGTATTACGAAATTGGTTGCCGCCGACTGAAATATTCACACACGTGATTTTTCATGCGATAGTAAATGCTTAAATCAGAATATTCCAACAATATTACTAAAGAAAGAAGAGCGTGGAAACGAAAGTTGTTGCATACCGTGCTACTCACCATCGACGATGTGCACCCGCACCGACGTCGGATTGGCATTCGATGGTGTACATGTATAAAGCCCAGAATCTTGTTGGATAGCCTTCTGCACTAGCAGCCGGCTGGTGGTCAACACACCTTTTTCGGTGACCAATGATATGCCACCTCGCGGTGAATCAAAATTTATAACCTGAAATGAAAAATACATTAGTTTCAGATGGGTAGCTTAGAACATATAACTGGGAAGAGGTGGTCTCAAACGGAATTTATAATGTAGCTTAAAGATGAAGTAAGAAACTGGGATAGTCAAAAAGGGTCAAAAAATAAATACATTTTAAATAAAAATAAGTAAGACGGGAGCTCCCGACTAGGGAATACCCTAAACCCTCTTATTCCGACACCAAATGCAGTTCGCGCAATGCGCTCGTTTGAAGTAATAAAGATAAATTTACAAAAGAGTTCTCTTGACAAGGTTCGAACTGGCCACTGACCGCATTACTGGCTGACGTCTCAACAGCCACACCAGCAAAAACAAAAGTCTCCTCTGTAGGGCTCGAACTCGCAACAGACCGTAACACTTGCTATGCCTCTACTTAAGAGCTACACCAATAATTAAGTATTATTGAAAAAAAAACGAATTAACATAGCAGCACAAAAAAGAATCGCAATTCCTATGCTGTTGGTAAGTATATGTTATTCGAAGCAGACGCGCATGAATGTGTGGGTACATGTATTGAGAAATTCTTGGATTTTGCATCCCATCAAATTGTGCAGTAAAATATAACTTTGGTTTGTTCTGAACCGATCTTAACGAAATTTTGTACAGTATATCTTATTGTATTCTCAAAAAGTCAATTGGATTGAAATTATGGCTAAAATTGGTGGGCAATATAAGTTGGGTTATTAAATTGATTTATAGCTCTGCCTACCACCGTGGAGGTGGCGATAGGTATAAAATTAAAGATACTTGATGTACATATATATAGTGACATATCCATAGTCGCACCCAGCATTTAACATATCTTAGCACATAAGCATAAGCACAAATATAAACATTTATTATTGTAAACAAAGAGCCTGGTGATAACATCGACTTTGGTCAAGATCAAACTGTCCCCCTTTGGTAGACATAAGCAATTCACCCTAAATATCACGCCACTGTCAATTTTCCCATCAGAGCACTATCCCACGCATAATTGCTGTCGCAGCTCAAACTTCACTCAATTTTGACTCAAGCTCTCTCAAAGCGAAGTTTGCTAAGCGATCGCAACAGTAGCAAATCTGAATGTACTCAGCAAAAGTAGCCGTTAGTGAAAATAAAAAATTGATATATATTTTTTTTATAGTAACTGAACGTGTAAAACTTAATTGGCGCAGCCGGTAGGATACGTCGGGAAAAAGTAAAGATCACTAAAGGATAATTAATTCTCAGATCTAACGCACAATCGCACAATCGCGAACGAAATTGTTGTCGGTGTGTAACAAACGTTTTCTTGAATAGGTATCCGCACTAGAAATTTTGGGTCACTAGTAGCCTAATAACATTGACCCTTTGGCCAATAAAGCTACTACAGTTAATAACGACTGGCTTTGCATACTTTTGATCCCTGCAATCTTTATTGCTGGGTCCTTTAAAGACACACACAAAAGAAAAAAAAAAACAATAAAACAATAATCAATCACAAACTATAAGCTAAATTAAATGTACAAAGTGCAGAAACAAAGTCCAAAGAAATAAAAAGTGCAAAATCAAAGAACTAAAAAGTTCAAGAACTACAAACTCAAAGCTGTTTAAAAAAAAAAAAAAGATCATCAAACGAAAAAAAAAGTGTATTACACTAAACTAAACTAACTTGAAAACCCTAAAAATAATAATGTTCAGGGGAATCAAAATAACAATCGTAGGATCATGGGAAATTATCAGCAAAATGCTAACCCAACCACCAGTTCAAGTGGCTATTCCAACACGAATCAGAGTTATCACGTACAAAATAAACAGCACAATAATTCCGAAGACAATCAGAAAGCTCACCACGAGTTTCAACAGAAATTAAGTCAAGGTAGATACCAAAATCCTTTAAACTATCAAAATCAGTTCCATTCACGCTTGAATGCGCCAAACCCTCCGACTAAACGTCAAAGAGATAGCAACAGTGGACAGATGAAAATGGACACATCCGAAAATTTTCATCAGCGAGCCTCGAAACGAACAGAAGAAATCCATTCATAAAATTGATTTTGAATGACGAAGTTCTTAAATGTGTCATTGACACAGGTTCAACCATAAATCTAATGAAAACAAACAGCTTAAATTTTCCAGTTTACAACGAAACATTAAAGGCCCACACCATAAATGGTGTTATTGAATTAAAACAAAGCAAACGATTAGGAGCAAGCAAAATTTGTCCAGGTAAGCCAAAATTCTATATTCACGACTTCTCAGAGCATTATGATGTTCTGATTGGGAGAGAATACCTTGAAGCATGTCAAGCAAAAATAGACTCTGCACAAGGATCCGTAACCTTAACTTTTGTTTTAGATATAATGACGAAGAGGTCGAAGAGGACATGACCGCACAAGAGTGCCTTGATCCACCCTCAACAGAGGACAAACCATTTAACTTCGCTATTAATAACGAATTAAAAGAAAACAATAAGTTTAAGGTCGAGCACCTAAACTCAGAAGAAAAAGAAAAAATTAAAAAAAAGGTTTACATGAATTTCGTGATATCCAGTACCATGAAGGTGACAATTTGACTTTCACTAGTACAATTAAACACAAATTTCTAACAAAACATCAGGACCCGATTTACAAGCGTCCATACAAATATCCTCAAATATACGATGAGGAAGTAAATAAACAAATAAGCGATATAATAAAACAAAATAACATACATAAATCCAAATCCCCTTACTGCTCACCAGTAATAATCGTTCCAAAGAAAAACGATGCATCTGGAAAGCAAAAGTTCCGGTTAGTCATAGATTACCGCAATCTCAATGAATTAACTATTAATGATAAATACCCTATCCCGATCACGGATGAAATATTAGACAAACTTTGAAAATGTCAATATTTCACAACCATTGATCTAGCCAAAGGCTTCCACCAAATCCAAATGGATCCTGGTTGAATACCCAAGACCGCATTTCCGACTAAACAGGAGCAAAAATCAACATATATGACAAAGACTACGAATTAGCGTTTGAAAAGCAAAAAGTACTCATAACATCCGACCCAATTTTAATATACCCTAATTTCGAAAAACCATTTTCATTAACTACAGACGTAAGTAATATGGCAATAAAGGCCGTGCTATGCAAGTAGAACTCTCAACGAGCATGAGATAAATTATTCAACGATTGAAAAAGAATTATTAGCGTTTAGGCCACTAAATACTTAAGGTCCTATCTTTTTGGTCGACAATTTCAAATCCTTAGGGATCACAGACCACTCGTCTGGTTAAATAACATGAAAGAACCTAACATGAAATAACAACGAACCTAACATGAAATTAAATAAGTTTGATTTCCAAATTAAATACGTACCAGGAAAAGAAAATTATGTGGCAGATGCTCTGTCCAGAATTTAATTAAACGAAAACTTCTTAGGCGAAGATACCATTAGCACAAGAGCAACCATACATAGTGCTCACGAAGACAACAGTAACCATTTACAAATCACAGAAAGACCTCTTAATTATTATAATCGACAAATAGAATTTGAAGAAGGAACCGAGAACGAAACAAAAGTTACGAATTACTTTCATAAAACCAACATAAAAATTACATACAAAGACATGACTAACGCGCATGCCAAAGAATTAATAGAAGAATACTTATGCACAAAGAAAAGTATGCTATACTTCCACAACGATGCAGATTTTCCAATTTTTCAAGAAGCCTACTTAGAAATAATTAGTCCGAATAATTCAGCAAAGGCAATGAAAACTAGTAAAAAATGAATTAATATAATTAACTAATATTAAAAAAACATCAAGAATTATTACATCCAGGAATTGAAAAAACTATCAATTTGTTCAAAGAAACCCACTATTTCCCAGATTATCAAAATTTAATTCAAAATTTAATAAATGAATGCGAGATTTGCAACATCGCAAGAACAGAACACAGGGATACAAAATTAACTTTCGAAATAACTCCGGAAACCGCTAATATCCGAGAAAAATATGTAATGGATTTTTACATAGTAGGAGATAAACAATTTTTATCTTGCATTGGTATCTATTCAACATATGCATCATTTATAGAAATAAAAAGAAGAGACTGGTTAGAAACCAAACGAGCTATAATACAAGTATTCAACCAAGTGGGTAAACCCATCGAAATAAAAGCACATAAAGACTCAGCCTTTATGTGCACAGCCTTACAATTATGGCTAAACTCAGAAGCAGTAAATATTAATATAACCACTAGTAAAAATGGCATATCCAACGTAGAACGATTTCATAAGACAGTTAACGAAAAATTAAGAATCATTAACAGCGACTCCGACGTCGAAAATAAACTTACAAAATTTGAAACTATACTCTACACGTACAATCATAAAACAATGCACACAACGACTAACAGAAATCCAGCGTACATATTCATATACGCAAGTACACCAGAGTATGACACTCAAGCTAATAAAGGAAAACTAATAAATAACCTCAACAAAAAACGAACAAATTATGAAATTGACACTAGGTACAAACATTAACCATTAGATAAATCAAAGACGACAACCCCGTTCAAGAAAACAGGAGAACTAAGAAAAATCGACGACAAACATTTTGAGGAAACTAACAGAGGCAGGAAAATAACACATTACAAAACCAAATTCAAAAAGAAAAAGAAGACTAATCAAAGCAAATATTACAATTACAGGTCAACAACAGACAGCGATCAAAACATACAAGCACCAGCTTAAACAAATTATTATAATATTACTATCAATAATTGTAAACCATATAAATCCGACAGATTACGAATTCCACTGTTTAACGGTTAATATAACAAAAACCGAAGAAACTTTTAACAACTTAATTGAACAAAGTAAAGAATTTAATAACCTAATATAAATCGAATACCTAGTAGAAAAATTAAACAGAGAAATAAACGGCTTGAAAATAGCCAAACGCAGCAAAAGAGGTTTAGTTAACATACTTAGTAGGAACGGTATATAAAT